ATTTTCAATATATACACTTGAAAAGTATCAATGGCATCATAGGTCGAATATTTCTATTTTCTTTGTGATATTTTATAACTCTATATTGATAAAATAAGTCTTCTTATATATTTTATTTTTGCATGGATGTGTATATTTTTAAATTTTTAAATTGAGGTTTCTATAATCTTTCCAACTTTTTTTTCCAATTTATATACCTTCTTTTTTATCATTCGTCTATAAAATTTTGTCTTTTTTTCAATTTAAATATCATTTGTTTTTATATTTATTTTAATTGATTTTTTATATGTATTATTTATTTATTTTATGGTTTATGTAATGTTTATATGTTATGTTTATACTAGCAAAATCACACTTATCAATATGACATTTTTTTGTCTTTAACTATTTAGATAAAATTTATAATGGAAAGAATGTATTTTGTAATATAAAATATATAGAAATCTCACCTATTTTAGTAGAACAGTTTTTTTTCTTTTTCTTAATTAGTCTGTAATTTGTGTTTTAACTATTTTTGTTAATATTGGAAATATTACATAGTTTAGTAGAGCGATTTTTATTTTCTTTTTCTTAATTAGTCAATAATCTTTATTTAGAATATATTTCTTATTTTCTTTTTAAATGTTTTTGTTAATATTGACATATGTTACAATCTAAATTAACAATTACATATGTCGCGATCTGGTGCTTAAGAATTTTACCTACGTGTCAAGGTCTCATCGCGCGCATTCTCCTTTATATTAAGATTAAAGAAAATTTTCTAAATTAAAACCATTCCTTAAAAATTTCTTTTTTAGACTCTGATTTAATCAATTAAACTTAATTTTTTTCTTTCAGTTTAATTGATTAAATCAGAGTCTAAAACCAGCGGTGCACCGTCGAAGAAGTTCATAGTCGAAGATGGAATGAATGCACCACCGGTTTAGATTCTAATTCAATCAATTAGGATTGCCTTTTTTGGCTTTTTCATTTCTTAAATAGAAGGACAACGAAACTAATCATGGAGTACACTCTTTGTTGTTTAGATTTGCCTCTTTGTTGTTTAGATTTGTTTTCAGTTCTTCTACTACAAGTATTCTTTGTAACTTCTGTCAAAAACAACAATCCGCTAATAAATCT